ACCCCCCTCTCTCTCATTCTAGTCCTCCCTCACTCCTTCCCTCTCCGCCACCTACATCCCTCTCTCCGACCAACCCTCCCTCCCTCCCTCCCTCCCTCTATCAAAATCACTGTAGCTATTACAAATACATTCAACTTCTGCTATAATGGTTGGTTGTTTAATTGGGTTTCAAGCCTATCCAGTACACGAGGATCATTAAGGCTGTATATAACCTGTTAACTGCCAGTCATCAGTAGTTAATCCCTAAAATAGGGATTAAACTCTTAGTAAGTTTATTCAGGTATACACAAATACAGTTACATAGATTATCATACAAACCAGAATATATGTAAAGAACCTAGGATAATCCAAAAAAGTCAGACTAAGTGACTGATTTCCATTGTGGTCCTGTACACATAAACACACTGAAAGACATACATACATACACTTCTCAGTGCTTATACTTATGCTAGAATGATACTACACAAGTTACTTTTTTATTTATCCCAAATAAGCATGCAGTGTTGCCACTGAGTATAGTACAGTACTAACATCATTCAGTGTGCGAGTACGTTGTTCCACATGACAGTTACATGGTAAGAACAAAAGTTAACTATGTTTTCCTCTCAGATACCATCACATAGGATGGGGGTTCATACCTGGCGCAATGAAAACTATCAGCCTAGCCTGGGTGAATTAACCAAGATGACGTGTAACTTATATACTTGTGTAACTGATATTGTGGAAAATTGCATTTATCTGAATGTAACTAATTATGTACATAACAGTAAATGATAACAAAGATAATTATTATTTATCAATGTTACATAGACAAGTAGGAATTTGGGACACCTAGGTCGCAAAAAATGTCCCCCTTCGATACCTACCACTGTCATAACCACAAGTTGCTCTGGACCTATTAATTAAATGAAATATACATACACCAGGAATACTGGTAAATATATAAATTTGTGGACTGTATATTAAAAATAATAAATGGTTATATATATACACAATTACATAACAGAAGGAAAATATATCTTAATATCACTCACCAATTTGACTGGAGATTAATGTGTATCATACTCAGAAAACCTCACTCTAACTAAATCTATGAAAATAATGCTGGCCAGAATTACACACAAATCTAGAGAGCTTATCTGAGGTTCCTGGAGCTGTCTTGTCCAGTCGTCTGATATCTCAAGTTATGCAGGAATGCACATCCAACAATTTCGTCTCCTATTTGAGAGGTGTCAGCCCAATTGTAACCTCTAGAGCACGAAAAATTCTTCCCATTACACCAACGTTTCTAATCCAAATTCAAACAAAATGGCGACTCTCGTCTGCCCAGACGCAGAGTTTCCGTTTTCTATGACATATATATTATTAAATACAGTATGGCCATCTATTTACATATAAATACTGAATTTCTGGAAAATATATACAGTATTTTCCACAGATATACTGTACCCATGTAACTCATACTCATGTAACTATGTTGTAATCACGTAACTGATATGTTGTACTCGTGTCACTCATTCTCATATAACTTATATATGCAGTAACTGATATATTCCAACTGATATGCTCGTGTAACTGATATATTCTTGAAACTGATATATCTGTGGAAAATTTTGGGTTTTCCTAAATTCAGCATGTGTAAATTTGAATAATATAATAATTGTGTAATTAAATATAATGCTGATTTGACCCTTTCGAGAAATTTCGAGTGAGTAGGGTGGAGAACAGCTGCTGTGGGATGCCGGGAGAGACACCATTTGTAATTTGTGAACACTGGTTGTCGTGGGAAATTCTGCTAATAATGAGGTGTCTTCCGAGCCAAACTGGGGTTTTTGGCCTGAATTTGTAACTACGAACCCGTGTTACTGTCCCCTGCAGAAGAATTGGAACGGGAAATTTGCGGGACCTCAAGAATTATGTGTGAATGGCGGAAGATAAGGAATACGACCATCACTCACAGGGAAGTGCACCATTAGTCCTTGCATTTAGATCTCTAGCTGGCCAGTGTAGGGTCTAGGTGCCAGTAATTAAATGATGAGTGGTAATACGAATTTCTTTTGTGTGCCCAGCAAACCTAATCATATATAGTCCTCAATTTTAATTCGCCAGAGTAGCTGGTTTTAATATTGTAATTATTAATTTAATGTCAGGTCTAGCTTTTTGTGAGAGTGGTAAAGAAGGTATTACAGTTCAGCGACCTACTGTGACTTAGTCCCTCTTACCTCACCCAGATTACTTGCAGGTAATAATTCAGGTAACACCCTGTAAACCTTATATAGGTAATTTACTCACATAGTAATCATTCACAATATCAACGTAACTGATATGTTCTTGTTACTAATATTCATGTAACTGATATATTCTTGTAACTGATATATCAACGTAACTGATATATCAACGTAACTGATATATTCTTGTTACTGAAATATTCTTGTTACTGCTATATTCTCGTTAATGATTTATTTTTGTTATTGATATATTCTTGTATAATTGAAATGCTAATTTCGTTGTTATTTTGTTGTTTGTAAAATAATAGGTAATGTAATTAAGATATTCATAATACTAAGATATTTTTGTTACTAAGATATTCATGTTTCTAAGATATTTGTTATTAAAATATTCATGTTATTAAGATATTCATCTTATTAAGATATTCATGTTTCTAAGACATTCGTGTTTCTAAGATATTCGTGTTACTAAGATATTTATGTTGCTAAGATATTCGTGTTACTAAGATATTTATGTTGCTAAGATATTCGTGTTACTAAGATATTTATGTTGCTAAGATATTCGTGTTACTAAGATATTTATGTTACTAAGATATTCGTGTTACTAAGATATTTATGTTGCTAAGATATTCGTGTTACTAAGATATTTATGTTGCTAAGATATTCGTGTTATTAAGATATTCATGTTGCTAAGATATTCGTGTTACTAAGATATTTATGTTGCTAAGATATTCGTGTTATTAAGATATTCATGTTGCTAAGATATTCATGTTGCTAAGATATTCATATTAATAAGATATTCATATTAATAAGATATTTGTGTTATTAAGATATTCATGTTATTAAGATATTCATGTTACTAAGATATTCATGTTGCTAAGATATTTGTGTTACTAAGATATTCATATTAATAAGATATTTGTGTTACTAAGATATTCATGTTACTAAGATATTCATGTTATTAAGATATTCATGTTACTAAGATATTCATGTCACTAAGATATTCATATTAATAAGATATTTGTGTTACTAAGATATTCATGTTATTAAGACATTCATGTTACTAAGATATTCATGTTACTAAGATATTCATGTCACTAAGATATTCATGTCACTAAGATATTCATGTCACTAAGATATTCATGTCACTAAGATATTCATGTCACTAAGATATTCATGTCACTAAGATATTCATGTCACTAAGATATTCATGTTACTAAGATATTCATGTTACTAAGATATTCATGTTATTAAGACATGTCACTAAGATATTCATGTTACTAAGATATTCATGTTACTAAGATATTCATGTTATTAAGACATGTCACTAAGATATTCATGTTACTAAGATATTCATGTTATTAAGATATTCATGTTATTAAGACATGTCACTAAGATATTCATGTTACTAAGATATTCATGTCACTAAGATATTCATGTTACTAAGATATTCATGTTATTAAGACATGTCACTAAGATATTCATGTTACTAAGATATTCATGTTATTAAGACATGTCACTAAGATATTCATGTTATTAAGACATGTCACTAAGATATTCATGTTACTAAGATATTCATGTTATTAAGACATGTCACTAAGATATTCATGTTATTAAGATATTCATGTTACTAAGATATTCATGTCACTAAGATATTCATATTAATAAGATATTTGTGTTACTAAGATATTCATGTTATTAAGACATTCATGTTACTAAGATATTCATGTTACTAAGATATTCATGTCACTAAGATATTCATGTCACTAAGATATTCATGTCACTAAGATATTCATGTCACTAAGATATTCATGTCACTAAGATATTCATGTCACTAAGATATTCATGTCACTAAGATATTCATGTTACTAAGATATTCATGTTACTAAGATATTCATGTTATTAAGACATGTCACTAAGATATTCATGTTGCTAAGATATTCATGTTACTAAGATATTCATGTTATTAAGACATGTCACTAAGATATTCATGTTACTAAGATATTCATGTTATTAAGATATTCATGTTATTAAGACATGTCACTAAGATATTCATGTTACTAAGATATTCATGTCACTAAGATATTCATGTTACTAAGATATTCATGTTATTAAGACATGTCACTAAGATATTCATGTTACTAAGATATTCATGTTATTAAGACATGTCACTAAGATATTCATGTTATTAAGACATGTCACTAAGATATTCATGTTACTAAGATATTCATGTTATTAAGACATGTCACTAAGATATTCATGTTACTAAGATATTCATGTTATTAAGACATGTCACTAAGATATTCATGTTACTAAGATATTCATGTTATTAAGACATGTCACTAAGATATTCATGTTACTAAGATATTCATGTTATTAAGACATGTCACTAAGATATTCATGTTACTAAGATATTCATGGCACTAAGATATTCATGTTACTAAGATATTCATGTTATTAAGACATGTCACTAAGATATTCATGTTACTAAGATATTCATGGCACTAAGATATTCATGTTACTAAGATATTCATGTTCCAGGAGCAGCTTTTGAAAATTGACTATTATCTTGAAAATCTCCCAACTCCTGCCTCAAACATCTTGCTACTGGGAGATTTCAGTTTGAGACACCTAAAATGGAGGAGTGTAACAAATAATATTTTAGCAGAGATCACCCCATGAGGCAGCTCAGATGAAAATTCACACACACACACACGAACTATTAAATCTCTGCACTAAATTCACCATTAATCAGCAAATATTAGAGCCTGC